TCCTATACTCTGCAAAGGCTCTGCAAGAGACCTATTTCACTGGGCAAGTTCTAGAACCCTTTTTAGGTATTCCAATCAGTTATAGGCTCAAGATGGTCTTATAAGTTTTCTGTAATCATGTTTCCCAACATTCCCTTCTATCCCATTCAAGTGTCTATTTTACAATAGTAGGCAAGGGAAACCAATCTTAGTATTGGTTTATAGACAGTCAAGCATCTTAGTATTATTTCCCTTCTTCAAACTATGCGTAGATTTCTGTATCACAGAGCCCTGTTGTTCCAAGGTTGAGCATGAATCATTATTTACCTCTGTCCCACTTAGCCTATGCAAACCTGTCACAGTGTTCTCCTATCTACCTTGTTCTTCCACCCTCCTCCCCTTGTGTATTGCCCTCCCTTACACCTGAACTATGGTGTGTCTGCTCTTACCCTGTGCTCTACCGTTGCCTCCCTCCACCTCCCACTTAGCCCCCAACCCTAACCCCACTGTTGTGGTTATCTTATATTCCATTAACTTTTCCCTCCATTTAAGACAGTCAATTTTATCCTGTAATCTACCTGACCTTCTCACCCTGGATCTCCTTTCCTCCATGTTTACCTTCTTTCACATTGTAATTGTTTTGATCATAGACTGACCTCCCAGATTCTCTGAGTTTGTTCTTAAAGTTTTATTCTGTTCTTAACTCTTCCATTTGTCGAATGAGTTCAGGGTGATGCTGCCACGTATGACAATCTCTCTGGATGTTGTCTATTCTTGTTGGCTCTCAGTCCACAGAACTCCCTTTAGGATGTTTTTCATCGCAGGATTGGCTTTGGCAAAATCCCTTAGCTTCTGTTTATCCTGGAATGTTTTGATCACACCATCATATTTGATTGACAGTTTTGCTGGGTAGAGGATTCTTGGGTGGCAGTTTTTTTCTTTCAGGGTTTTATATGTATGTCTCCCCATTGCCTTGCCTGCATGGTTTCTGTTGAGACATCCAAGCTTAATCTGATTTGCTTACCTTTGTATGTTACACCTCTCTTTTTCCTAGCTGCTTTCAGGAGTCTGTCCTTATCTTTGATTTTAGAGAGCTTGATTATTATATGCCTTGGTTTTCTTTTCGGGTCTATCCTTCTTGGGGTTTGTTGAGCTTCTTGAATGCTTATCTTTTAACTTTTCAGGATGTTAGGAAAATTTTCTTCCA